TGGACTGAAGTAGGGAAATATAAACGAGCCGGGAAGCGTAATAGTGCATCTGGTAGCAGTACGGAAGGGAGAGAGGAGGAGGAAGAAGTAATTTTGAGATTTATGTTTTTCTTAATGGGTTAGAATATTGTTAAGGTTCCGGAAAGCTCTCGAGGGAGGCCTCACCCCTTTGTTCTCGTCCCGGCCGGAAACGAGGACACGAATGAGTCAATTCGTTTAAATTCAAAAATCAAAAGTCATTTAATAACTGAACAACGTTATAAGGAATGCAATTACAAAGTGAAATACTAAGCGAACAGTGGAATATTTCGCGAAATAGAGAATCCTCTGAGCAAGTCTAAAGTGACTTTTCAAGGCGGCTGCAGGTCAGATTCTTCCAGTCCTTTCCCCCGCCATGGTCCTTTGAAAACCTCTTGAGGTGTGTCTTCCTTGGTGCATTTGAATGTCATTGGCCTCTTCTCCAAAGGGTCACCTCCTCCATTGTCCCCTTCATGTCGAGGTGTGAAGCTGCAACCTGAACCTCTCTGTCCTAGCTGTCCCTCACATTCCAATGCACTCAATGTAGATACATTCGGCTTTATGCCTCAATGAGTGAATTTACCAAAGCATACATCGTTTAAGTCTTCATCTTATAACTAGTACACTTTCATTACAACAACCCATCATTAATGATCACCGTTCATCACACTTCATCATAAGATCTAAGAAAGTTCATGTGGTCCAATTCTCAAGACATCTGCCTCAGTCGGCTGCCTTACATTAAGTTGTTGTAAAATATGAAGAAATCCATAAAGGACGGCAATTGGCATCCGTCCCCAGGTTTTAACATCACATTGTAACAGAATGTTAATGTGTACAGTGTTTATATGATTTAAATGACTATGAATTGTGTTTGATTGAAATTGCATTCACTTCATCTAACATGTTAATGTAATAACTATTGTCTAACATCACACAAACTATAATTCTAACACTAAACATTATTACACGTACTATAGTTTCCTGACTAGGGGTGCACTTCTGGCTTAAATCCCTAACAATATCATCCCGATGTAGTATGGTTTTGTTTTGTTTTTCAAAGCAGTGCACACAATTAGCTCACACACAAACTCAATTTGCAAAACACCTCAGATCCTTTGCAAAATAAAACACTCTTGTAAAAAATATGGTTGAGCATATTTAATAATATGAGTGGCAAAGTCATGTGGGTAACCTGTCCAGTGATTTCCCATTGGAGCACGTGTGCCTACGAGGATGTCGTTGTGAGCATGCACAAAATAAACACTATTGTGAGTTCCCAGACCAAAGAGACATTGGCCGTCTGTCCTTTTTCTCCCGTGAATATAATACTAGGAGGTATTATCTAACCACTTTGGTGACTGTACTAACAATAGACTGCTGCAGGATGTCTAACGCTACAGGTTATGGGCCCAGTCATGCAGGCCAAAGGTGGTTCAGACTTTTATTCGACGGTGATAAGAAAAGATACAAGCTCTGGGAAACGAAGTTTCGCAAATGTCGGTTGAGGGGCGCACAAATTTGAAAACGAGGCTCAAGCAAGCACTCTACATCCCATCGTTTCCACAAAACATCTTTTCAGTCGAAGCAGCGACGGCCAACGGAGCTGAGGTCCGCTTCAAGGACGGTAATGACTTGCTGATCCTCAAGGATGGTACCAAGTTCAAGATGGACGTGTGTGGTAGGCTGTATTACCTTAGCACTGTAGAGGATGAACAGGTTGATGAAGTGTGTGGTTGTCATGACATTCAAACGTAGCATAAGATACTTCATGGTCATTGCAATTTTGATGATTTGTTGCAAAATTAGAAAAGGTGGTTGAAGGAATGTCTATAAAAGGGAAACAGGACAAGTCCAATCAAAACTGTGAAATATGCACACAGGGTGAGTTCACAGAAAGCAGAAACAAACAGGCAGACACTAAAGCTCCAACCGTACTAGAGCTAGTACACACAGACCTATGCGGCCCTATAGAACTAGCAGATGAAGATGGATACAGATATGCAATAGCATTTTTCCATACTTTATTAAAGCAAAGAGTGACACGACAAAAGCTACAGAAAAATTCATAGCAGATGTAGCTCCATATGGAACGATAAAGTGCATGAGATCTGATAACGGCACAGAGTTCACCGGGCAGGAGTTCCAGTCTTTACTTAGGAGTAACGGGATAAGGCACGAGAATAGTGCACCTTACTCACCTCATCAGAATGCTGAAAGAGGTTGGAGAACCTTATTCGAGATGTCTCGATGCATGCTAGTGGAGAGTAACCTCCCAAAGCAATTGTGCAGCTCAAATCCGCAACAGGTGCTACAGTAGGGGGCTAGAGCAGACACCTTATTAGATATTTGGCTGTGAATTCTACGTATTTCAGCAGGATAAGAAAAAGCTGGATTCCAGATGCAAAAAGGGGATATTTGTAGTCTATGACAAATATAGTCCAGCATATAACATATATTGTCCAGAGACAGGAAAAGTCCTAAAACACAAACTGGTGAAATTCATCACTAAACGGGGCACAGCCAGCCAAACTCAGGCAGATAGTGACATGGGGGGAGACATTGAGATTGATGAGAAACACCATAGAAGACCGTCAACCAGGGTCAGGGACGGCATAAGGAGTCAAATGTTGAGGAGATTGCTGAGGCAGGCCCAACGCAGACAGATAGCACTCAGAGAGACGAGGGAGAAAAGATACCCTACGAGACAAAGAAAGGCCCCAGAATAGTTAAAGGAGTACCAGTGTAAAGCTGAGTGTAATAGTGACGGAACTGAAAATATGGATTATTTCTACAGAGTGGCTTATGACAAGAAGCAAGTCCCATTGCATCCAGTACAAAGAAAGGATACAGAAAATGATACACGTTGTCTCTTCGTCTAGCTGGATCTGTCCGCCTCCTCCTCCTCCCTGGATTCCTCCTCTCACCCTCACTCTTCTCCTTCCTTCCATTTTGGGAAAACAGGTGAATTTAAACCTGATTGGTGTGTCTACAATTACAGTGTTTTTCAATTGCTAACAAGCATTGTTCAATACTGAAACCACACTTTGAAAACTCTTCACACAGTCTGTAGTATCAAGATTCCTTTTG